ATTCACTTCAGTTCAGTTGAGTTTAATTCAGTTTTATTTATATGGCATCAAATTACAACAATGGTTGGTATTTTATTTTGCAGTGTAGAGACTCATGATTAAATCTGTAGCAGATGAGTTCTTACTTCTGAAAAATTCACCTCTATTTGACCTGTCCCATCCTTGTCCAAAGTTTTAAAGGAGTCTGTTGAAGTTAAGTGAACATTGAACTATTTTGTCTCATGTCAGTGAGACAAAAATATGATCATGAGGACAGAAACTCCCTGAAGAGAGACTCCAAGCGAACCAGGCAGCACAGGAAGTCGTCAAAGTCAATGGTGGGATTTGCTTCAGTGTAGTGGCCACAATTATGTAATTCAGAGGTTTTTTGATTGTGAAACCTGAGGAAAAAAACAAAGGCAAAACATACCTGACTGCTTCAGTCTTTACTCTTTCAGACCTTTCCCATCTCTGAAAGCCTCTTAAATGTTAGGGCAACGGTAGAGAAACAAAAAGGGTGAAATCTTGCACTTCTCGACAGCATTTCGCATCTCAGAGGAGCTCGTGCAGCCACTTTGTTCTGCATCTCTCTTGTTGTGAGAGAGTGTCATATGTGCAGTTCACCTGTCACCACACCCTTTATTTTGCATGCCAGAAAACTTGTTCCAGCTCAGCAGTTTCAGTCACAGACCACCTTCTGAATTTTGCTGAGTAATTTAAACATTTGACTTGTAACAAAAAAGAGTGCAGATGCCATAGTTTCTTAGTTTGTTTTATTTTTTTATTTTTAACATGTTTTTATAGCTTGACAGAAGTTGTAAGAAATGAAAAGCAAAATACCCACCAAGACTACCAAGTTTTTCCCTACTGAACAGAAATATTTGCAGAAAAACCAACTTACATGGCATGTTATACATGTCAGTCATAGTATAGCCCAAAGGGACTTTAGCATTTGGAATATACTGTGTGAAAAGTAAATCAGAAATGAAGGAACTCTCTGTTGATCAGCTGATCTTTCTCTGTGCTCACATCTGAAAGGGGTCCTTGTTGTGTCGCTGTCAGGGCTAGTAGATTGCCAGGCACAGCCACTGCAATAAAAAACAACATTATGCAGCTAGCGGCCCGAATGAGAAGTGCTGAAAAACCAGCAGCCTTTGTTGTATTCCTACACACCTGCTGCATGTTCAGCTCAATCTTGCCCGAGTCATCCCTTTCCAGGGTCTTAAACACTTCTGGTAAAGCAGCAAAGACAAAAAGACATTTCAGACAGCGATAAAACATGTAGAAGTGATGTTGCTGTGTTTAGTGACACTTACTAAAGAGCATTTCCAGTTTAAAGAGACAGCCTACAAAGCTGTCAAAGTGTATGGCATACTGAGCATCAGCGTAACGATTCACAACAGCTCTCAGCACAGCACTGTTGATCTGGAACCCTGGGAAACAAAAACATTTCCATCTTATCTACGGTGACCATATTTTGATTTCCAAAAAAGAGGACACTTGGCCCAGTCATGAAGAACTTTAATAATACTGTTTGCTTAAAGAAAAAATTTAAAAACATATTTAAACGATGCCTTCTGTGTGCTGTTAATGAATGGTGAAATAAAAAATGTCATATAGGCATTTACAAGTCAACAAGTGCAAAAAAATAACTTAAAAACCTCTGGAATTAAATAATGGTACAGAAATAAGGCCTCATCTGTATAAGAAAAATTACCAGTATTGGGTCGGGACAAGGGAAATTTCTTTTGCAGTTCGTCTGAAAAGCTGCACTTGCGCTTTGGCATCTTTTAAACTTTTAAAGAGGCGCACTCTGTCCCGTCTGTGAGGCAGAACAACCACTCACAAAGCAGCAGCTCGTCGATGACGTCACACATATGGGTCCTCTGTAGGCCCATAGAAAAACCGGGACATTTTCATTAATCTCAAAAATCCACCCGGATGCCCCGGACAGAACTTTAAAAGTGGACATATCCAGGGAACCGTAATCTTATCTCCATATATTTGAGGAAGATCTGATGCTGGGGAAGTGCAGTGTTGAAAAGATTTCATATATACGTAAACTCTACAATAGCTTAGGAGTCGTGTTACACAGCCTCACCCATGCATGTTTAGTTCCTGTGGAACAGTACACCTGAATAGTACATACAAGGCGGCAGTCCCCTAACTGGCTGATATAGTTCTATCACTTCTTTTCCATGTCACACAAATTAAAACATAGATAAACATTAATATGCACACACATGCTTTTGTCTGTTTGTGTAAGTCTCAGTAGTCAAATACAATATAATCCCAGAAAAATCAACTTTTGAAATGTGAATTTCTTGGTTTTTCACAAGCGTATCAGACCTGGCAGTTTCTAATATGTATATCATCCTATAGCCACAATGCCACAAGGAGTGACAGTGTGGTCACACCCTAAAGCATTCTCTTTATGCTCTTTTTGACTGTTGGGACCATTAAATAAGACTTGAATCCACAAACTTCTGTACAGTCAGACTTAATGCAGTCAAAAGGTGATGCACCTGTTGGCCACTAAAATGAATCTATTTTCATAAGTGTAAATTATTAATTATTAAACATCATGCCATTGTCAAAAGAAACCCAAGAACAGATGAGAAACAAAGTAATTGACATCTATCAGTCTGGAAAGGGTGTCAAAGCCACTGCTAAGGCTTTGGGACTCCAGTGAACCACAGTGAGAGCCATTATTCACAAATGAAGAAGACTTGGAACAGCGGTGACATTTCCCAGGAGTGACCACGGACTCATCCAGGAGGTCACAAAAGCACTCAGAACAACAAAACTACAGGTGTGACTTGTCTCAGTTAAGGTCAGCCTTCATGATCCAACAATAAGAAAGAGACTGTGGAAAAATAGCATCGATGAGAGAGTACCAAGGAGAAAACCACTGCCGACCAAAAAGAGCACAAAGGCTCGTTTCACTTTTGCCAAAAACATCTTGATGATCCCCGAGACTTTAGGAAAACATTCTGTGGACTGACGGGACAAAAGCGGGACTTTTTGGATGGTTAAAGTTACCTGCTTTACTGGCAGCATCTCTCATCTCATGGGAGCTCATGGTACCAGATTTGTCTGTGTCAAGACTCTTGAAGATCTCCTGTATGAGCCAAGAAGCCATGCCTTGCGTTAACATATACACAGATGTGTTCAAGGATAAGCAGCATGGATTTGAAACTATTTAAATCTCACCAAGTATTTTTGGATTTTCTTCCAAATCAACTGGAATTCCATCAGTCCCAACTTCCCACTTTCATCTTTCTGGACAATGTCAAGGTTACTATGAAGCTCACCATCAGTTATTTATGTACTTTAACTTCCAGATTATACGATTACTTAAACCTAAAAAAAATTGCAGTTGACTCCTTAATAGGATACATCCAGCAGACTGACCATAAGGCGACCTGTCTCGAGGCTGAATCCATCAGTTTTAATGTCAGACCCTGCAGGAAAATGACAACATATTTCTCACTCCAACTATTAATTCATAAAAAAAAAGAGTGCTTTAAACTTTTGTTGTACTCACGCTGAGAAACTGCATTGTTTAAAATTTTGATCAGTTCAAAGGCGGACACCTCCGTGTTCTGTTTGAAAAGTGGCAGTCATTAACTTCAGAGCCAAATAACAGTAATAAAAGGTTCTTATGTCCCTCAACATACATTGCCAGCCAGCTGCTTGAAGAGTTGCTTCAATTGAGGATCTACATCCTTTTCAGATACCTTGTCCTGTGAGAGAAAAACAGAGAAGATAAAAACAACGAACTGATCAATTTGGACCATGAATGTTAAGCATTTAAGTTTCAGGATGGCATATATGCTTCAGTTTCAGATGTAACGAAGAAAGAAAAGTAAGTCTCAAAAAAGCAGTTTTATTTTATGCACGAACAGCTGTCAGGTGTCACATTATTACCTCCTTTATCTTAGCATCAATTTTCTGCTCCAGTCGTCTGAGGAAAGAGAAACACACCTTTAGCACAGTCTTTCTGATTAAAAAGCTTACTTTTTTAGCTTTAGCTTTGCTTTTCAACTTCAGTGGCAGTAGAAAGTGAAGTGCTGAAATCTGAGGAATTATTCTGCTTGTCACATTACAGATACCTGGTTGCAGCCTCTTTTTCTGTGAACACCCTGAGAATGAAGCTGCCGTTCTTGTGGGGATGGAAGGTTGAGGGAATTATGGCATATTCTCCCGGTGGGAGATTGAAGCGGCCACACACTTCCCGTGTGTTGATGAAATTGGGGCTCATGGCTACATGTTTCTGACGCAGCAGGACGTCAGGCCCGAGGCGGACATTTTTGCGACCTTTGTACTGAACAGATACAGAAAGTCAGGCTCCTCTCAATGCAATCAGTCGAGCTATGTTTGTGATTCTTGTGATTTCCACTTTCTTTTTCAAATTTCAGCTTAAAAGAGAAGGAAAGAGTTAAAGGAAAGTAGACATACAAACCTCATCTGGAACCTGCAAGAAAGGAAACAAATATATCTTAGAAAATTTGTCAGCTGTCAAAAAAAGTATGTGATTTTATGAGCAATATGAAATGAAGCTAAGGTACCTTATAAATGGCAAAACCGATTGTCTCGAGGTTGGGGTCAACCTTCATCAGCCGTCGTCCATCCTTTTGCATCAACCCCACCAGAAAGGTGCATCCGTGCTTCCCATCCAAAGGATTATCATCCACATCCTCCAGACGCAACAGGAACTGAGGATTGGATGGGAATGTGGCTGGACAGCAAGTCAAAATAATAATAATTTTTATAATCTGGACCATGAAAGGAGTTCTTATTCAGACATACAAGGTTTTTGATTTCATTCTAACCTGTGTGATTCCGGCAGCCGCCAGCAGTGGAGCCGACCCTCCACATCCCTTCAAACTGGCAGTAGTTCCAGTGACCCACATCATCACTAGTGAGTGTATCTGGGGTCAAATTACAGATCTCCAGCTTGGAGAAATTCCTGATGAAGTCTGAGTAGGACATCCTGAGAAGAACAATTTCTCCTTAAGATAATATTCGGATCATTTTTTAAAGCATGTGTCTTAATGTTAAAGGTACTTTTTGTCCAAAACCTCTGCACGATTTAAGGAAACCACAAGGTGGCAGCATTTTATCGGAAAGTAGTTGACCTGCTTGAACAGGATTACATTTTAAAATATTTTTTCTTTCTATGTTGTTGTTCAAAGTGGTATTACATACAGTCCAGCTTTAACTCAACTTGAGCAGATGTCTTTTGCAACATAATACCTGGATGGTTTGTCACTCTTTTGATCGTTTTGGCTCGTTTTAGAAACTTTTACACGATTCTTCAATGAAAGCTTTTTTAAAGCAGTTTTGATCATAAAGAGCTTTTTGATGTTATTCTATTATTATAAAATTGTAATTTTCAGTCAGTATAATGTAGAAGCATGTAGAATTACCAGAACTCTCCATCTTCAGCCACATTGTTTAACTTCAGCTTCTCATCTTCAGTGATGTGGCTCCATTCACTGGATCTAATTTTGATATTAGGAAGAATTCTAGTATTAATAAATAGTAGCTAATGATCCATCCATCCATCCAACCAAGCATCCATCCATGCCACTTATCCAGCTCTAACTTATTCCTGGTGCACAGAGGTGTTCCCAGGCCAACTGAGAGATATAATATCTCAAGGTTGCCTTGTGTCTGCCAGAAACATCTCACCTAAGAAGCATCTAGGTGGGATCCAAATCACATGTCCCGAACCACCGCCACTGACTTCCATCAATGTAGAGAACCAGTGGCTATATTCTGAGCTCCTCACACAACCTTTATATGTACAAAATATAAATATTCACCCATCACTCCAAGGGCCTGTCCATTCCACCTCACCCCACGGGTTCCTGATGCGAACCAACTGCACTTGTTGCCCTTTAAAATTAGCCTTGAAGAATAAAGCACATTTAATAGGAATCCAATGTAGTGCACGCTTTTTTTTTTGTTTTCTTTTTTAATTTGAATACCAGTTCACAGTCTATATAATCCGCGTACCTCCTCTGCACCGGTGAGAGAGTATGCATGTCCTTTTACAAGCTTTAGAGATGTAACTGCCTCTGACTCATAGGCACTGGTGATCTGAAAACAGCGAAATTTAAATCCAGTGTGATAATGTCTATCAGACTGATGTCATGCTTATGTGCAAACTGTAATGCAAATCATGATGCAAATAAGACTTACATCAATAGAGCAACCCATCAGTGAACCCAGGCTCAGGGCCCTCTGAATAATGTGAAAGAGATTTGCTGGAGCCTCTTTTAGGTTGTATGTTTCTGCAATTCCTCCGGTGAAATCCTCAAAACCCTCAATAGTGTTTCCTCCTGTCAAAGCCTCGTAGCTGCCATACACCCTGTCAGGCACAAAGGAACATGGGTAGTGTAAATGTATATGTGTACACATACACGCCATTATGATGAAGCAAAAAAATATACGAGGAGCTATCCATACTTAGCGTAGGCCTTCTCCAGCAGTGCACTCCAAAACTCTGAGCCCTCTGCTGAGTGAACAAACAGCAGCTTTCCATCTTTGGTGGGCAAACGATCATCGACCACCACATCCACCCACTCACCAAACTGCCAGAACTGATAGAAAACACTGATAAGTGTGAGTGCTTTTTTATTAATGAACAAGATTTTGAGATCAAGTTTGTTGAACTGTTAACTTAGCACTGTTACCCGAGCTTCTGGTCGGTTCTTAGTGATAGGTTATACATAATCTGGTGAACGGACAGGTTCTTAAAACACTTTCCTAGTCTGTTTGCACACCCAAAGCACCCTAAACCTCTGAAAACATTAAATACACGCTCGTCTTGTAAAAGTGCAAGGAGACTTTTTTCCTCGGGGGTGATTATTCTATCATCTAACTAGGCAGATAATAAGTAACTTTTCTAAATGCTTTCTCATACATTTTTACTGTATATGTGTGTATATGTGTATGTGTGTGTGTGTGTGTGGGGGGGGGGGGGGGTGTTAGCAAGTGCATCACCTGGACATGCCCTCAGGTTGTCAACATTGTCAACATTGTGACACGTAGTAAGCGCTGGGGCCTGTTAAAACTTATCCAAACACTCGTGCTGTGTGATATTGCAAAATTTGGTGCCGATCTGATAGCAAGTAAATACGGAGTCAGTATTTTTGATACTTTCAAATTAAAAAGGGAACTGTAGTGGTGATCTGCGTGCTGAGAGTTATGAGATGAATCATCATTAGTTTTCAAATTCTGAAGACATTTTAAGGACCACTAAATCTTTGTGATTTATACTAGTTAATTTTACAAATAGTAATCCACAATACACAAACAATTTTTTTAGACACTGAATGTAAATGTGCTTGTTTCACAAGGTCTTTGGCTCAACCTCTGTTGTTTAAATAGGCTATAAATAACATATACAGTCAGCACAAAAAGGTTCAGACACGTTTAATAGTGTATGTCTAAGGTATATTTTTTTCATAGCCAAAAGTAAATCATAATTAATTTGACACCATGCAGTTGGCTATAAACTGAACTAAGAGGATATAAACAGTATTGATCCTAGTATCAATCTGATACCAATACCAGCATTTGTATCGATGCAGTCACATCTGGACTGATCTTCCCTTCAGTAGTTGGCAGAGGTGGGAATAAGCACTTTGGTCAAAAAAGTTAACTGAAGTGCTTTGAATGACAGTACAAATCTGTTTGAACTGCCACAAGGTACCGCAGAGTGTAATCTAATTAGTATTATGTGTATGTCACTTCTTACCAAAAGTGTAATTTTATTTATAATTTATTAACAAAACCAGATAAGAAAATTAGCAAGTGGAGCAAAAGTTTCCTGACCTGAAAGTGAAATATCCCAGCATAACCTTCAGTAAAGCTTTGGTCAGGAGGCACCACACGAGCCAGAATGTCCTGGTTCAAAGTCAGAGAAGCTATGGCAGCTAAGAGCCAGCAGTCACCTGCACGGTAAGGACAGATATATGACTACATGCCCTGAGGTCATGGGCAGCATGTGCTGGTCTCAACAGCGTAGCAGCTTTGCAACCAACAAACAAATGCAGAATATGTGGGTGCTACTCACAAATGTCTAAAAAACACAGCTCACCTCATTATTGAGCTGTCATCACTTACCCAGAGTTCCCTGCCGAATGTCCGTCCTTGTAGCGCCGTCATCAATGAACTGAGGGTTGGAACAAAGCTCCTGCAATGAAAGCAAAACATCCTTCAGTAATGGGAAGTACAGTATAATTAGATTAATGAATAAAATAATGAAAGTCTTGTAAATATGATATGTTTGTGTTAAAAATGATTGTTTGCTTTGTTGGCCTCTTACCGTTGGCCTCTTCCAAACGATGCCCTTAGTCTTTGATGAGTATGGTCCCAGCTGGTTGTAGCCCAGTGATTTAGGCTCAGGAGGAAAGCGATCGTCCTGAAACAGGTGGCCGGTCTCCAGACACTGCTGCCGCAGAGCCTCATAATCTTGCTTGTAGAATTTCACTGCCTGTGCGTTGGTGCCAATGCCCAATTCCCTGTCTTGCTGACGGGCCAGTCGACTTGCTGTAGATGTCATCGTCACAAGAATCCGGTCGCAGTAAATGTCCTTCTTTGTCCTTTCTTTCAGGCTTCACTGATGAACAAATCTTTCGCCAGGTGAACACAATCCGAAGTACCTTTGTGTCAGCCTTCTTTATAGCTCTCTCAGGTTCTTGGAACACGGGGTCAGGTGACAAATAGGGTGGGGCTGCTAGGACAGGTGAGGCAAACAGCAGCCAACAGCAGCTCTAAGCAAATCTGCACTAATATGGCAGTGACCACAACTGAAAGACAAATACGGACTACACCCAAGGGACATTCTTATCCTACATTTTAATCTCATCTGTATGTATGGTGGAGATAGGTATGCCTCCCACTTTAAATTTGGACTTTTACACATTCTGTAATAATCTATAGAAGTACCATAACCCAAAAAATAGAGATGTTTTCTCTCCAAGCGTGATTACATGTGGTAACTATAGTTAAGAGTTGTGAAAGGGACTCTTAAAAACATATAGAATGAAGCAACCATCAAACTGAGCTTGAAAACAACTGGGATCTAAATGACACTGCAACACTAAGCCTGGTTGATGCACAGATCCAATTGCGTGTAAACATATACTCTTATTCATCACATCCTCCATGCAGAGCACAGCAAAGTCAAGCCTTAGTCAAACACTTCTTGAAGTCAGTTTGATCAAGCTGCAAGCTGTTGGCACGAGTTGTTGTTGTTGTTTTTTTCTCTTTTAACAGAACACGATTCATGTGCGAAAGGCAGGAAAACAGACACCTGAATACATACGACTTCTTTTAAGAGACGATTTCCATCTTAAATCTTATCCAACACTGGAGCAAAAGCAGCTCATGAACGTTGCATCATAAACCCCTAACCGCTGTGTTTACACTGTCTTGCTTATGAACATAACATGGAAAATGAGCATCAAAAACAAGCATAGCCTTCAGACATAATAATTCATTATTATTTACCACAGGGTGGGACTGCACTGAGCTCCCTGTTGCAGCTACTTTGAACCAAAGGTTTTGCATGAGAGACAAAAAACAGGAAGAAGGCACAATACAGATTTCCAGGGGCGGACTCAAAAACAGGACATTAATCACATGATGTCTGTTACCTTTGACAAACAGACTTCACCTGCTTGTCTTTGTGTCAGCAAAATGTAATGTTGGTCTTACTGCAACATTGCTTTACCAGAACACAACAAACCAACACTCTTACAGCTAAATAAATCGAATCCATCTATAAGTACAACAGTTCTTGTGTGTTTATGACATGTTGTTTTAGTTCTCTGCAAAGGCCTCGGCCGATTCACAGACTTGAACTGCAATATTAGCTTTTTTGGCCACTTGGAGGCCCTGTGATAGTTGCGTATTTTTAACTTCCGTTAAAAACAGGCCAGTTCAAATACCTGCACCTGAACAAAGGATGAGATCATATTTACACCAGCTATATTTGTACCTTAATCTTTGTAGTCATTTATAACACTTTATCTCCCTGGTAATAATTATTTGGTGTTATCAAAGTGTTTGCCATAGATCAGCACAGAATTTCACCCAGCTGAACATTACACACGAGCTTATGATTAACCTTTATAGTGATGATATTAAACTCTCACAAATTTAGTTTTGCTTTCGGTCCTATGAACACCTTTTGAATATAAACACGAGAACTGAAGACAGAATCATTTATGATTGCATTTTAGGATACATTGTTTGTATTTCGGTGTTTCTTTAGCTCGCACTTAAAGAGTGCGGTTCAGCTATTATTGGGTATTTAATATTTGGTTACCCTTTTTCAGAAAAGCATGATTGTTAGTGTTTTATTCATCTACTCTTAACCCAAGATAAGCACTGATGTATTGATCAAAATAAACTCTTCATTGTTAGAAAGACAACCTGAAGTCAGTGCAGGGCAGAGGGTTATGTACTGTAAGCATATGTGCCCTAAAAATGACAACTACAGAAACTGACTAAAGAGACTTGAGAGCTCTGACTTGACTGCAGTTCATTTATCATGCTTCTCCTGCGCTGGCACTGCGTTTAGGATAATTGCCATACGAAGTCACTGTTAATCAGATGCTTTCCAGATGGTATTCCATGGTGGATCAAAATCTGATGGTACTTTTTGTGTTCATAATCTCCAACATTACTGGCAGAAAAATATCCGAAAACAATGACAGAGCCGCAGATGGCTGCAGAGGCTCTCTGTTGCAACCTCTCCTGAACCTTGTCTGTACATATCAATCAAAAGTTGATCCAGAAACTCCAAATTTTGGATTCATCACTCCATTCTTAATGGTTTTTAGTCCGGTTCTTGTGTAATTTGTCATATATCAGCCTCTGTCTCTGTTTCCTTTCTTTTTTCTTGACAGGAAAAACTTACTTTTCTGATAAAACTTCAGAAAACAGATGGTTTAACTGAAGGGCCAGATGAATCCTGCCTCAGGTCTTTGATTAACCTTTTCCCATTTCTTAAAGAGATGACTTTCAGATACTGTTCCTGCAGGATAGTAGCTCTCGAGGACTGGGATTGGGCAGCCCTGTTTTAGGCTAATAGCTCAAAATAGTCAGGTACAATAATCAAGAAGATTTCTATTTAGGCCTAAATTTGACGGTGTTATACAGTATTACAGAATAATGTTGCAGTCAGTTGTAATTTCAGCCTTTCATATTTTCATAGCGTGATATTGACCAATGTAAGTGTTTTGTTCATGGTTAACTGCCATCTTTAGCGCCTCCAGCGGCAGTGTGTGGTGGGTGTGAGCGGTGGCCCCTCCTCCTGTAGGGGCGGGGGCGGTGCAGCAGTGTGGACGGTGCAGAGGGGTTGGACCTTGGCCTGGACCTGCGATCCAACGGAACCAGTGTCTCCACCAGATTTATACAGTTTACTACTGTATCCAGTTCATTTGCAAGGAGCTGGAAATTGGCGTGAAAGCGGCGGTGAGTGTCGTTTTGTGCGTTTTATTTCTTTGTTATTTGGAGAGCTTGAAGTTAACGGTGCCTTGTGAAGTGCAGGCCACAGTGCGGTTTGTTTGATTTGATTTAATGCATGCTTTATCTCTCGCAAGAGTCAAGATAAATAACAGCCGTCTAATTCTGAGATCACAGATTTAATTCAGCTGCGTTATCCAGGGTTAAATGAGAGTGTGAATGTGCTCTGCTGTTACCAGAAATCTTTAAAGCGGGTGCGCGTAAAGACAGGCCTGCAGCACACTTCTGAACAGGTGCTCTAAACCATTTGTGTAATGACATAATGTCACTTTTAAGTCTCGGGCCTGTGAAATCACAAATGAACTGAAGGAGCAAACGTGCATTACTCAGACACTAATACTGCTCCTCTGTTTTTGTTTTTATTTTTTTTATTGACAGACTGTTGTTTTTTGTTAGGGTGCTGCTGAAGTCCTATTGATTACTTTATTGGGAGGAAATAAAAAGATCCTTGTGATCAGCAGTCTTTGAAAGAGCAGAGAGGAATTCCCGCAGCTCAATGGGGAGTGGGGCCTCAGAGCGGGGGCACGATGGCCCTTTAAACAATGTTCCTGTCTGCGGGTTGTTTTTACCAAAAGCATAGCCTGTTTTTGCACACCAGCTCATTCTCCAACCTAACCATTTTTGTCACGGATGTCCTGGCCCCCTCACCACTGCAGCTCCAGCCAAGTTTACCCTTCCAACTTTCAGCGCCCAGATTATTTACCTAACTTGGCTCATTTGGATTCCTTTTGAGGCAAGTAGAGAGCCAAAGGATCTAGTCAGCACTGATTCATGAGGTACCAAATTCAAGTCTAAGGGACGTTTACGTCTTTTGAACTCATGATTTCCTTGCATAGGTCTTTTCTTTTCCTTGAAGATTTGAATATAGCCTGGAAAATAAGACACCCCCCTCCCCCCCAATCAATTGGGGGGGGGGGGTGCATTTCACTTGTATTGTGTATCTGATTTAAGAAAAAAAAAGCAGCTTATGCGAATGACCTTTCTCTCTGTTTTTGTCTGATTCCCCCTCTCAGCTTGCAAATACAGACAAGGTATCACATTTCTTCTTTTGCTGCTCTGGGTTCAGGGTGGTGATTCTTATAACACAGTTACCCATAGTCACTATTCTTTGTTAATGCCATCACTTATCATTTTGTTTTCATGATAATACAAAATGAACTTGGAGCTAAAGTAAGAATGAAAAAACTGAGTTATGACAGGTTTTACCAGGGAAACTCGCAAGATTTGCTTTCTGTGGGGCCGTAACCTGGAATGAGGACATACTGAGGTCATAAATCTGGTCATTTTGCACCTCACTACACTCAGAAAAACAATTCTTAAACATTTTGAAAAATTTTGAAAAAATGCATTTTATTAAGTGAAGGAATTGTTATTTTTTTGCATATGAAATGTAAAAAAAAATCTGAAATGCCTATTTTTTAAGTTGTTTACATTACCTATAAGGGACAATAATAATAATAATAAATGACTTGACAGACCTCAGTGTTCTCAGAGCCTACAGCCTTCACTTTTATGCTAGATGCAAGCTAACATCATAATGCTGAATTTCTGCGTCACAAAGGGTTGCCAGCTAGCTGAATGCAGGTTTTGATTGCTGTATTATAACTCTTAGACATGAGTGTGTCACAGATTAGCTTGCTGCTATTTATAGATGACACCGTGCATACCCAACCACCAACTCTGTATTTTTATCTTGCACCAGCATGTATTCAGTTGGAGGGATATCTGCAAGCATATATGCCAACAGGCTCCGGGCGGAAGGGATGGGCTCCAAGGACCAAGCTGTGCACTTTGCGGGCCAGGATTACGAGGCGCTGAAGCAGGAATGTCTGGAGTCAGGCTGCCTGTTTGAAGACCCCTATTTCCCTGCCGAGCCTCCATCTCTGGGCTTTAAGGAACTTGCCCCCTATTCCTCTAAAACAAAGGATGTGGAGTGGATGAGGCCCACGGTGAGCTAACCGAGAGGATGCACAGGCACCGTAGTCTGTAGTCTTATATGAGAGTCTGAAATTAAAAAATAACATTTATTTTGCAGACATTTATATAAAGACAATTAAAAGTTTATTGCTTTTGGCCCATCTCATATGATATTTCACAACTTGTGTGCTGTTTTGTCTGTCGCTGGATATGACTGGACCTGCCAGCAAACATATCGATGGCAGTTTCTCATTTCATGTCTGCCAGCTCAGACAGAATAAGACAAGTAGAGACAGGGACTTCTCTGACCACAGCAGCTGTTGGCATGTAACACATTCTCTGACCGCTCCCTCCCCGGGACATTTGTTTACAGTGCAGGAAGTTGGCACATAAATGATATGATGCCTCAAACATTACAGTCATGATAACGAGAAAACACACCCTCTTTTCTAAGGTTTTACATATCAGGACATAAACATTATCTAGTCCTCTCCAGTTCTTGGAATTAAATAAATACATCCTCACATGAACAGCAACACGCAATGTGTTACACAATGTTATTCTTCAGTAAAGATGACGCCGTTACGGAGAAACAGTGTTTGAAAAACTAAGCACTGCCCATGATTCATTAGCTTGTAGTGCCACCTTTAGGAGCAATAACATTTTGCTTTCTTTATGACTTTATTAGTTTCATATCACTGAGGAGGAATTTTGACCCACTTTCCTTTATGGCAGTGCTTCAGTTCATTGCTGGTATTTGTTTATGCACAGCTTTTTAAGGACCGACCACAGCATTTTAGTCAGGTTGAGGTCTGGACGTTTGCTGCTGTGCTTGGGATCATTGTCCTGTTGCTGGATCCAGTTTGGGCCAGGCATTAACAGTCAGACAGATGGCTTCATGTCCCGCAGCTGCAAAACAAACCCAAATCATCACTCCTCCACCACCGTGCTTGACAGTTGCTACAAAGTGTTTGTGCCGATATGCTGTGTTTGGGTTTGTGCATCAAGACCAAACATCACCCCTTTGGTCTCATCTGTCCAAAGAATATTGTTTCAAAGTTTTGTGATTTGTTCAAATGCAACTTTGCAATTTTAAGCCATGCTGACACGTCCTTTGTTTTGTTTTTTCGGAGAAGAGACTTTCCTCTGGCCACCCTTCCAAATAAGCCACACTTTTTCAGTCTTTTGCCAGTTGTGCTGTTATGAACGTTAACATTTTACATGCTAACTGAGGTCAGTAGAGTTTGTAGCTCTTGGGTTTTTTTGTTTTTGCAGTTTAACTTGCATGATTTGACATTGGGGTGAATTTGGTTAGATTTCCTCTCCTGGGAAGTTTGGTGACTGCCTTGAATGTTTGCCACTTGAGAGTAATATTTCTCACTGTTGAATGATGCCCTACATTTCATTTGGAAATGGCCTTCTAACACTTCCCAGATTGACAAACGGCACCTGTATCTTTCTTGCTTAGCATTATTTTTAACACACTTGCTTCAGTGAAGCAGTAAGGGTTTTCCACAGTCAACTTCTGTGTTGTTCTCAGACATGCTAAAGGCTGTATTGTTTTTATTATGTCCCAATACATAAAAACCTCAGAATTTAAAGTGGGCGTGCTTTCTTTATACAATGACTGTATATTAAAAAAAATGTTCAAATCTTTGACTGTTTGATTTTTGATTTCCAAAAATAATTCTCAGAACGACTTATTTTCTTTTTTCTCCATAGGAACTAACACAAGACCCTCAGTTCATCGTTGGTGGTGCAACCAGAACAGACATCTGTCAGGGAGCACTGGGTGAGTCATTAATGCTGAATCTGCCATGAAAACCAGGACGCCACAGATGGATGGAGGTTCCTAAAGCTTTTTTTTTTTATTTTTAAACTTGCAGGTGACTGCTGGCTCTTAGCAGCCATTGCTTCTCTCACGCTGAATGAGAAGCTTCTTCATCGGGTTGTCCCACACGGTCAGTCCTTCCAAGACGACTATGCAGGAATCTTCCACTTTCAGGTAAATTCACATCATCTTCTACAAACTCTCTTTGCAAGCACTTCATTTGGATGGAGTTCTTGATTATTGCTCTGTGTTGCAGTTCTGGCAGTTTGGCGAATGGGTAGATGTCGTGATTGATGACAGGTTGCCAGTAAAGGATGGGGAGCTAATGTTTGTCCATTCAGCTGAGGGTAATGAATTCTGGAGTGCACTCCTGGAGAAAGCTTATGCTAAGTAGGTGTCTGCCCGCTACATCGCTTAGCATTTAACAGCAAGCCATAATCTGAAGAGCTGTTGTGTACGGCAATCAATGTGAAGTGTGTTCTTGATGTGCTATCAGGCTGAATGGCTCCTATGAGGCTTTGTCTGGAGGGAGCACCACTGAAGGGTTTGAGGACTTCACTGGTGGTGTGTCTGAGATGTATGAGCTCCGCCGAGCTCCAAGAGATCTCTACAGGATAATTGGCAAAGCGCTGGAGAGAGGCTCCCTGCTGGGCTGCTCCATCGATGTAAGTGCTGAACACATTTTATTAAAAGCACCCCTGTTTCTTTCCATGCTAAAAGGCTCATACTGAGATGCACTAATCATGTTTTATATAAATACAGATCACCAGTGCCTTTGACATGGAGGCTGTTACATTCAAGAAGCTTGTGAAAGGCCACGCCTACTCAGTCACTGGGCTGAAGGAGGTCTGTTTGCTGTTGTTTGCTGGATTGGGCATCGTTTTTAGTCTCTGCCTGACCGTGAAAGTTGTGGTTTTAATTTTTCTGTCATTCTGCTGTTATGTAGGTTAATTTCCATGACAACACCGAACGCCTCATCCGAATACGTAACCCTTGGGGCCAGGTGGAGTGGACTGGTGCATGGAGTGACAAGTGAGTGTGTTCAAATATGAGTAATATTAATAATGATAATAATCTTGATTTCTTAGTTCTTTGTATATTTATTACACTTACATGTTTTGGATCAAACACTTTGTTGTATTAGACAAAGATAATCTGAGAAAATACAAAATCCAGTTTTAAATTATGATTTCATTTATGGAAACTGAAACTTTGTCATTCAAACTTACCTGACCTTGTGTAAAAAGGTAATTGCCCCTTAAACTGTAACTGGTTGTGCTGACCTTGGCAGCAATAATTACAATCAGGCCTTTGGGATAACTGTCAATGAGTCTTTCACATCACTGCGAAGGATTTTGGCCCACTCTACTTTGCATGACTGCTTTAATTCAGGCATGTTGGAGTGTTTTTGAGCATAAACAGCCTGTTTAAGGTCATGTCAAAGCATCTCACTCTGATTCAAAGTCCAGACATTGAATAGGCCACTCCACTTTGTTTTCTGTTAGCCATTCAGAGGTGTTTCAGATTGCTGTCCTGGTGCATAATCCAAGTATGCTTGATTTTTAGAGCATGAACTGATGGCCACACATTCTCAGTTAGAGCAGAATTCATGGTTCTATCATTTACAGCGAGTCTATTTGGTCTCTCGATTCAGCAGGTTTGGCAGCAAACAGGCCGGCGTGTGGCTAATGAAATTGAACTCGGCTTTCCAAAAAAAGTGGATAATCACAATTAATTCACGATTTAACAAGGAGGGCAATTTTTCACAAAGGACCAGGCAGCATTTTTTTCTTTTAATGGACGAAATCATGATTTGAAAATGGCATTTTGTTTTAACTTAGTTTGATCTGAAACATGTAAACATGACAGATATTTAAAAGAAATAACAAATCAGGAAGGGTCAAATACGGTGCACCATCTTCACTAATTGTTCTCACTGCTTTTCTTGTCATTTGTAGTTCTCCTGAATGGGATCAGATCGACCCTTCTGAACGAGAAGACTTGCATCTGCAGATGGAAGATGGCGAGTTTTGGTACTAGATGATTTTAAAGAAACAGACAGATATTTTTGCCTGGATGAGAATATTGTGTCTTTGTCTTAACAATAAGCTACAACAAGGCTTTTAGCAAAAACTCAGCATAAACAATCAAAGTTTAAGAGTAAACACTAAACTGACTCTGACCATAGATAGAAAATCTTTGCCTTTAAATCCATTTTGTAAAGATATAAATGTGATTTTATTCCATCCAAAAACAACTTAAAAGCAGTGACTTGCTGCTGGAGTGTTATCTTGTAAAAAAAAAACCCAGCTGGTTTGTTTGTACAGCTGTAATTACGAGTATAATGTGCTGTTAATTATTTCCTTCTGATCTATTATAGTGCTAGGCTTACTGTTTCCCAGCTTCAGGTTTATCATTAACACACAGATATGAGAGTGCTGCAAATTTGATCATCAAACTCTTATAGTGAGTGAAAAAGCACAGTGTTGAACTAGCTGTTTAAGGAAAGCTACAACTACATCTTCCAGGATGTCCTTCAGTGATTTCATCAGGCAGTTTTCTCGACTAGAGATCTGCAACTTGACTCCAGATGCTCTGAGTGACGACAGCCTGAGCCACTGGAACACCATCAAGTTCTACGGCACGTGGAGGAGAGGGAGCACCGCCGGGGGCTGCAGGAACCATCCCAGTGAGTCCTAACTGTGTATACCCCACAAACATGACTTTTACAATCAAGTGTACACAGTTTCCGCAGGTGAGTGACTGTTGGACCATGAAGCAGGCTAACATAAATGTCCCGTCTGTGCAGACACGTTTTGGATCAACCCTCAGTATAAGATCACGCTGCTGGAGGAGGACGACGACCCAGAGGACGATGAGGTGGCGTGCAGTTTTTTAGTAGCCCTCATGCAGAAAGACCGGCGCAGATATCGACGTCAAGGTCAAGACATGCACACCATTGGCTTTGCTCTGTATGAGGTGCGAACAGAGAAAATCTGTATTGTCCCTTTGCCTTGTTTGTATGTTTAAAAGGATCCTCGTGCTCATTCCTGAAACTCTTTCCCCTGTTTTTGCAGATTCCAGAAGAGGTAAGCAGAGCATCACTTTACTACTTTTTAAAAAACTTCATTACCATTACTCTTAGTGTAATGTGAACCATGTGTGTCTGTGATTACAGTAAATGGAGCTAAAAGCCTGCATGTGTATTTGAACCAGTGTTCTGCTTGCTGCTGCCTTTAGTACAGAGGCTGCCAAAATGTCCATTTGAAGAAGAATTTCTTTTTGAGCCATTCCTCCTGTGCTCGCTCGGAAACCTTCATCAACCTCCGGGAGGTGAGCACACGGCTCCGTCTGCCTCCAGGAGAGTACCTCATCGTTCCCTCCACCTTTGAGGCCGGTAAAGAGGCCGACTTTGTCCTAAGGGTGTTCACTGAGAAGCAGTCAGAGACAGAGTATGTTTACGCTTGTATTTTGTTATTTATTTTCACCCATTACAATGTGTGGAAAAGGAGGCCTTGTACCAATAGAGTTTGTCTGTTGCAGAGAGCTGGATGATGAAGTCTCTGCCGATTTGGGAGAGGATGTACGTATACATCAGTTGGAAATTTTAAATTATTACACGTATTGCAAGAATGCTAAGGCTTTTTGATTTTACACCCTGTACCTACCATGGTTTGCTTTCCTACAGGAAGAAATAACTGAAGATGACATTGATGACTCTTTTAAGGCCATGTTTGCTCAACTTGCAGGAGAGGTAGGTTTTGAAAAGATCTCTCTTACTGCTTAGCATCTTTTCACCTACGTACTACTTTTATATAATTATCTGATAAAACACCATATGTAGTGGTAATAGTTGCGTTTGCAGTATTCATGATAGGAACAAAGCCAGTAAAGTTGCTCTTAGTTGCAAAGTTTAGTTGTCCTTCATTGTTTTGCAGGACATGGAGATTTCTATTCATGAGCTGAGGACTATTCTAAACAGAGTCGTCGCCCGGCGTGAGTGTTCTCTTTATTTTGGGTGCAATTCACATATTACTAATACATCTCCCATTACTGTATTAGATTCCACTGTAGTGCCCATTCCCTTTAACCGTGTGTCTTTTTTTAGCCAGATGGTTTGAAGACGGTCTTTTTCTTTTTTTTTTTGTCATTTCAGACAAAGACCTGAAGACCGATGGCTTCAGTATTGAGTCTTGTAGGACCATGGTTAACCTGATGGATGTATCCTCTGGTGTTATCACACCTAAATCTTTCAAAACTGACTATTTTAGGCATTAAATTGTGCCTTTAGCATGTGATTTGTTTGGCCCCTTGACAAAATGTTTCCTAGAAAGATGGTAGTGCTCGTTTAGGACTTGTGGAGTTTCAGATCCTCTGGAACAAGATCCGAAAGTGGCTGGTAAGAGCGATTAAAACAGGAACGTTATACTTTGTCTGTATTTCTATTTATGTTACCGTCTCCTTCTCTCAGGTCGTTTTCAGACAATTCGACCTCGACAAGTCAGGGGCCATGAGCTCATATGAGATGCGACTTGCTGTGGAAGCAGCAGGTATAATTTTTCATATCAAAGCATCATATTGACACAGCTACACACTGGCTTGCCTGCTTGTTAAACCAAGTACAGGTTAACAGCCAATCACATGGCGTCTCTGAGGTTTACAGAGAATGGTCAGAAACAGAAAAAAATATCCAGTGAGCAGAAGTTCTTTGACCAAAATCTCTGATGAATTGTTTCCAGCATTTTGACTCTGTGCTATTAAGAACTAAAGCAACTCTGAAGGCAAAAGCAGATCCAACCTGGCAGTAGCAAGGCATACCTAATTATGCTATAAAGTAGTCTGCAGAGGGACGTAACACTGACCACTAAGTGAATACTAACCCGTTTTAAACTCTTTGTAGGTTTCAAGCTGAATAATCGACTCCACCAGATTCTGGTGGCCCGGTATGCAGAGAATGAGATGATTGACTTTGACAGCTTCATATGCTGCTTGGTTAAGCTTGAAGCCATGTTTAGTAAGTAATGTTGACAGACACATTAGAAATAAAAGCAGCATAGTGGCACCATATTTCATTATTAATGCAGTGGCAATAAATGATGAAAACTTTGAATTAATAGGGACTTTCCGAAAATTTGACGAGGCGGGATCAGGAGAGGCAGAGATGACCCTGACAGAGGTGAGTGCTGTTTTAAAAAGAAAATGTATCCAGTATCCTTTTGTCAAACTTTTCTGTTTGTCTAACTTTATTTGTTACCTTGCTAGTGGCTTTATCTGACCATGTGTGGTTGAAGAGAACCTTCTGTTAAGGTGTATCGAGTAAGGGCACAGTGCCTGCAGACTGCCGTGAAGCTGGAGCTATGAAGACCCTTTCGCCCTAGAAACCTTCAGATCCTTTTACACATCCCACCTCAGCTTAAATAAAAGTTGCAAAATAGCTGTGTAACAGAAAACCAAAGTCCAGCAAAGCCAACGTGGTGCATCCTGGACATATTTTAGGATCTATGCAAGGCTACAGCATGTAGCCGTCACCATATGATATAAATGTGTCATCTTTATTTACAGAGCATGGCCATGTGCATGTAGAAAATCACTAGCTGCAATGTTTACTGCGAGTTGGTTTTACATGTTTTAATTTTGATGTCACTCTCAGCTGACAATTTCACTCTTTGAAGTCAGTCTGAAAATCTGTTTCTGTGCTATTTCTAAAAGTGCTTTAGTTTCTCAGTAATTGTGCATTCATTTGTTTAAATCTTGTTTTAGAAAATCTCGCCAGGGTGTTGAGTCAGCAGTTTCACTCTTACACCTGTAGGTGTCACTACGGAGCCAATCTGATGTCAGTGACAAACTTGAAACATTTAATATGTACTGAGTTGAACCTGTTTAACATGACGCTGATGAATTGAAGCCACTCACCTCTTAGGTTTTTGTTTGTTTTTTTACTAAATTGCACTTGCATTATAGTTGAAGCTGCTTGAGAAGTTGCCTCACATTAATAATGTATCCGTTCACTTTTAGTGACCTTTACAGGAATCACATGATACTGATCATTGCCTTATACACACAGGAAAAAAAAAATCATGGTACGAACAACCAGTAAAATGTGCCAGTCATGTGTTACGAATGTATTTCGTGCCGTCAATAAATATTCAAAGGCTCATGATATTTTTCCATTGTTTCCACAACACAAGTTTGCCCCACATTCTCTTTGGCTACTGGACAAGAAGTGTCTATGCTTCAAAGGTAAAGCCTGTATTTATTGTAAGCATTGGGATGCTTCTGTAAAAAAGACATGTTGATAAAGATTTGACCTAATTGCAGTACCAAGTTAAAAAACAAAAACAATTGCAATAACATCTGTTCGTTTAAAGTTTATTGAAGACAACTTGAGCACAAAATGTTCACATATTTGACACAGTTAGACAAATGAATTAGCAATTGCCAATACTTTAGAGTAATCTCCCTCTAGTTTACGTAGATGTGTGGGTACAGGGACTTTAATCCTTGTTCCTGTGGGGTTCCCATTGTCCTCAATGAGTACAACATTGTTAGAATCAAAGCGTGGAGCCATCCGCTCTCCAGGCATTTTGTGTCCAACGATAAGCGCCTTCTTCTTTTGTCCTTTAATGGCAAGTAACACTCTGTCACCAACTTTTCCTACGCCGTTCTTGGTGTAGACATGGATCACTCTCGGAGGACGGTGATATGGAGTATTTCCAAGAGAACTGTTGTCCACTACACGTACTCTTGTCATTTTTTGAATGGCTGCAGCAACAGCAGATACACTGACAAGACAAAGAGTATATTAGTCATGTCCAACTTAAGGAGTTAAGTTCATTACTCATTACTAAGCATCACTGACCATGACAGTCACTTAGATCTCTCAGTCAGCAGGTATGCAAGTAATCCACTTTTCTACTAAAATATAAAGCTAAATATCATGTGATATTGTAAATTGAACAAGTTGCCTCTTATACTGCTCCATAAGCACTTGATAAAGAAATGATTCAGGGCTGGCTCATGGGGGTAATTTAGGGCACAAACTGCACCGGATAACTGAATTAGAAAATTCAATTGTATAATAGGACATTGAGGCTGAGGGGCACGCCACTGCTGTAAAATGAAAGTGTTCAGCCTGTCCTATGAGACCAGCTCTTGCATATATTTCAGGAAAACTGTTTACATGTGACTTTAGAAGAATAGGGAAAAATACTCACACATGGAAGGACCTTCCCTTCAAATAATAAAAAACAAAAAAAAACAAACCTCACATCCTTTTTTCCCGCATGTCTGAAAATAATCAGCTCATAAAACCCAGCACTACAGCTTGACTACTAATGACTTTAGACATTCACTATTCAAAAGTTTATTCGGGTTTCCATCCATGTCTTAAACTTAGATTTACAGTAAATGCAGTTTAAATATATAAGAGTTTAAAAACAGCACTGCGGTGTCACATACGCACATTACGCAATATATTTAAAGCTGCAATAAAAATGCTACGTTTTCTGGTCAACTGGATTATTTTTGCTGAATTGGTTTCTTTAGATGGTCTAACAATGGACACAATACAACATTTCTAAGAATTTTACCTGAAATTCCTCTGACAATTTAGGGACGCCGTCTCCATGAGTAGCCCAGAAAGGGATCTTGAGAGCCAGGGAAGAGCCATAATTACAGCAAATACTATGTCCGCTGAAAAGAGAAACAGTGTGTAGTTAGCAGCTAGTAAGCTAAAGGCATTAGCTAACAATCACATGGAAGCCAGACTAAAGCTTATAACAGAGCCGAACACTTCTTGCTTTATAGTCTTTGCAACAAATACTATATCACATATAATAATTATAGAAGGAAGCTTTAAGTTTAAAACAAATGTCTCGCTAATCGTTACCTATATTTTAATTACGCCCCATGCCAATGTCAAAAGTATGGCGTCATCAGCAAGCGACCACCAACCGACCTAGCAGATATATGCGTTATCATGTTGTTGTTAAATAATTCTTATTGCACTTAAGAAAATATGTTTTTATTTATTTAGTTTTATACGTATTACTGCGAACCATTTCATATCCGTACAGACAGTCCTCACAAAAAGGAAAAGGTTAAACACAAAAACGGAGCTTGTTTGTCATTTGATTTACGTCATAGAGAGGCGCCAGCGGAATTGTAGAAATAAAACAGAATAGAAGCTACACGGTGAAGCGCTCCCTTATGGAGACTATGCCTATGTGATCTACTTCTGCATAAGACACGCTCCAACCCGGGCTGCCTCCAGTGTAACTGGTTGGGTTAGCGATAGTTGTTTAACCGGCTCACAGACGGTGCTAGTAACTTTTGTCTTAGTACTGACACTTCGACAAACTACTTCCAGCTGGCTGTTGGTGGACACACAGTCACTGGGTCGAAATCAGTCGACGGTCTTTAAATGCTGGACACTCTCCACCTGTTATTTGCTACGTTACGGGGCTACGTTAGCTGAATTGATTGCTAGCTCACCTTAGCAATTTGTTAAAGTTTCTGTCCCTTCTGCGTAGCATATCAAGGTAAGTTGATTTTCTTATCAGTAAACTTATACCAGCAGTTCGCAGAAATAAAAAATAAAAATATTACTTTGTCGTTTACAGTAGCGAAAGCCCGTCGTAAGCTCCTGTCAAACAATAAGAGGGTAAACATGCAGTTACTATTAGCGTCAGGCTAACTAGCCTCAGCTGTATTGAGAGCTGGTTGTTTACACAGTTCATGGAAGTTATGAAACAAAAATTAACCTTGTTGATAGTTATTATTTTGTTAAAAAATGTGCTTTAAGGTTGGTTTTATTTCAGTTGCCCTTCTCGCACTACACGCCCAAGAACAAGCCAGTTTCTTAATGATCTTTTTTTTCCTTTTTTTCCACGATCTGGTGGATCAATGGTGACATGCCAGAGTGTTCGTCATAAAAGCTTTTAAGAATATTTGGAGTTCCTTATAATTTCATGGCTACGCAGAGACTGCTTGTGCTTGGAGGCGTTGGACAATGAAGCTTTAATTTGCAGTCGTGACATTAAGCTGCGTGTTCAAAGGCAGTAGTTTGACAAGGGTTTAGCTAATCAATAGAAGATCAATAATTCCGAACATTACTCGGATGTCCATCAGGGTGGTTTTAATCGCTTTGTCTTGGGATTTGCATCATAGTAAAAAGCTAAAATCTACTGGCTCTTCTGACTTTGGCTTCTTCACGAACTGATGGCTGGTGGTAGCTTGGATATAAAACTAAATGCTATACTTGTGCGTAGCCTATACAGGGAAAGCACAGGCTGCTACCAGGCGTATTGTTTGCTCATAATGTGGTGCAATAGCATGAATAAGCATAAATGGGGAAAACCTTTGAAAAAGTATACCTCTGACATGTTGCCACTGATACCGTTTTCATATAAGCTGCAAAACAAAGGGCCCTTCCATTTTTCTTCTCCTTCTTCAATGCCTTATTTTAACTGCTTTGTGAAATACAAGCCTTTCTTTGGCCAGGCCTTGCTTCCATAAATATGAAAAATATACATAAAAGCACCTTTCAGTCTGAATGCAAATGGATGCCTTAAATTCCATCCAGCTGCCCAGTCTTGAATTAATAATGACACTGAAATGGATAACCTTCCCTTTGCATTAAACCTCATTACAACCACTACAACTTTAAAAACAGATTTTCTGTCCTATCAGTGAATTCAGTAGATTGGAACATGTGCCTCCTTTCATTTTTATTTAAATTGGAATTAAATTACAGTAGCTGGATTACTTTTACAGGCATAATGCATTTCATTGGATTTATGTAACTCTTAAGGCTCAGTTGTACTGTGTGGTAGTCTTTTATAATATAGCATCAGCTGCAATTTGTTGTCTAGTTTTATTAGGATAGCAAATTATCTTTGTTATTGAATTTATGCATTTTCACTGTAACTTAATGCTTGAGGACATTATGAAATCAGCCTGACATTGTCAAAATCTGTGATAATCAAAGCTGAGCCTTTGTGTGTTTGTCAATGATTTACTGGCTAACAATTCAAATAGATGCAATTCTGCATTATCAGCCATCAACGTTATTGGAAAGCTCTTGTGAAGTCTGATAATTGTCTTAATGCAGAGCACAAATTCATTAAAATGTAAAGGAGGTTTTTTGATCACAAAGAGGAAAAGGTACCAGTGGATTCAAAAGTATAGTTTGAATAAATGAGCAGTTGTGGACATGCTGTCTCTGCCAGGTTCCCTTGGCAGTTTTCTTATAGGGTGTGCACGGATTCTTTGTTTTTCCAGTTTCACATTGCTGATAAGTTTATCACGCAGTGTTTGAAAAGCTGATGGCAGAAAGTCAGTTGGAATGAGATGCATAAGAAGTACTTGTTCACTGGTTGTATACATTGAGTGCTGCTGTTATGAGCGCCAGGAAAAATTTTACAAGGTGACTGCTGGTTCAACAACACTCGTAAAAAAATACAAATGAAATAACAGTTTTTGTTTTTTCAAGTCACATGTCATAGCAACTTATTGTGAGTTGACCAAAACCAGTTCAGCTTCCTGCAAGCGCCTCATGTGTGTCCACCATGTGTTATATTTCACTATATTTAGCTGGCAAAGTAAGCCAGTGTTACTTGACAGCTGCAAATCTGCGACCTAACCCAGTGTTTTAAAGCACTGGTAGGGGGGGGGAAAAAAGCCTGTTCAAATATTTGACTTAGGATGGTTAAAGAAGAAATGACTCTCATGCGGTAATGGCATAAATATGTGTGCTGTTGCTAATTATACATGTAAAATATGAGAGTTTTGCAACATTGTGCATTAAGATGAATGTGGCCTTTAAAAAAAAAAAAGGGTGTGCATGTGTCTGTATTAAGGCATCAAATTGAATTAGGAAGTCTGTTTGTCTGTTTTCATTTCATTTGTTGCAGTAGAGATTTTCCTGTGATTATTGCTGACTAATTAAATGGCTATAGTATCTGAGAAATTGAAACAAAGAATATTTTTCTTTCTTTTAAGCTGCAACAAATGGTCTAGAGTGAATTTTACTCGAGCTTCAGATGGAAAAGCTTTGACTATCCTCCCATTACATTCACCCTCCTCATATTTGTAGTTGGAGGAAGCAAGCCAGACTGATGGTACCATGACAACTAGCGTCAGGTGGAAAGGTTGT